GTACTTAAATTGTGTTTGTGTGATTCGTTAGCCACAGGCAGTCATCTGATGATATTTGATGCCTGAGTTAGAAGAGCAGTACTTGTAAACAAAATAAAAGGCGCTGTGCCTAGGAGTGCTTTTTGTCATTGTCTGTGTTTGAGTGCCTGTTATGTGAACAAATCCACCCACGCTGGGGTCTATACAGGTTCAACGCATTTCCTTTTAGTTCTGCCCCCTTAAATCTAAAATTGTATTAATGCAGGATTTTGCAGTTGTGAATAATGAGAGGTCTGGTGTTGATAAAAGAACCATGTTTTTTTTTTTTTTTTTGAAAAAGAAAAAGCAACCCAAATTGCCATATTAAATGTTTTGCTTAATTCTAAATCTCTAAATTTATAACAGCTCCAGCTCATGTAAACCTGAATAAACATAACAGATGTTATTACAGTCCTTCAAAATGTGCTCAGATTCACCAGTTCTTTTGTAAAATGGTCACCATTTAAATACACCTTAAACTTCTCCTAAAAAAAAAACTCTTTGTAAGAACCCAACTTGATTCATAGATGTTGCTTGAACTATTCTGCTGTATTAGCAGCTAGAGCATATTTGAAATCATAGGTGTCAAGCTAATAACGTCATATAAATAAAGTAATATAAATGCAATGTAATGTGTTTCACTAGATGCTCAAAACATCCCTATCTTTCTATTATCTTGCTCCTCTGTAGTTACTGCTGGTAACCTTTGTCTTCAGTATTTACCGTAAATCAGAAGATTTATGATCTCAGCCTCCTTCCTGACCAGAGATAATTTCTGCTCCATGTTACTCAGTTGCACAGGTTGCATCTAAGTGTGTAATTACGTATGCCAAAGACTGACTCTGAAGTTGTGACCAGATACTTTGTGTCTGTGGTCTGGATTGATCCTGCACAGACTACTAATCAGCCTTTAACCCACCAGCAGGCTTAAAGGGCGAAGTTCCGGACATCACTGGTTCCTAAAAGCCTAACTATGGAAGAAATAGTGCAAGGCCAGAGTAGGCTACTCAGCATGTGGTTGTCAAATATATTATATGAAATCTTTTAGTGCTCCACTGCAGCAGAGAACTGGTGGATATTTGCAACAAATAAAGCACATATCTTATCTACAATCCTCCAATTTAAAATAATTTGATGTCCCTGGGATGAGCTGGAGGGGATTGGACATGTATAAGCTTTTCCTTCTTCCATCACCTTTTCAAGCCATGCATATGTATTGTTTGTCATTATATGTATTGTAAAATGTGTGCAGGTTTGAAATAAACTTTTTGAAATGAAATGAAATGAAAAAACATAGTATTTTTATCAGATAGCTAAATGACCACAGAGCTGCTGATTTGACAAGAACCTCTAGATCTTCTCAGTGATACTTAGATTAGCATTAAGGAGGCTTAGGAGCCAATATACTATACTGACCCTTTGTTTTAATCTGTTGGGTTTCATGTGGTTTTATCCATGTTCTTGTTTTTACCCATAATAGTTAGGTACCCTAGTTCTGTTTTTCCTCTGCAGATGTGGGTGGGAGACCAGCAGGCAACAGGAACTGGAGTTGGGGATTATGGGAGTTAGAGGAAGTTGAAGGAAAACATGTTGTTTAGATCTGTGAGCGGCGGTAGCTAGAGCCTCCGAATAGAACAGGTCAATTTTAGACTAAAAACCCAGTTTCGAGGGACTGTGTCAGCGTCATCACAATACTAAAGTAAAAAGTATTACTTAGTGCTGCTTTAATGTCCTCCAGCGATGGTAAATGGTCTATATATTTATAGTGCCCTTTCAGGTCATGGGACTCCAAAGCGACACCACATTTACTCATTTAAACACACACAGTCACACGCTGATGGTGGTGAGCTGCATCATAGCCACAGCTGCTGTGGGGCTCACTGACAGAAGCAAGGCTCAGTAGCCCTATAGAGGCCATTAGTTTTGTGGCTGATGTTGGATCGATTTCCAATATCAAAACTTGGTAGGGACATCTGAACTTTTTTGCTAAAGTTAAACATCCTTATTTCCATATTAAGTATATTGGAAAGGTTATGGTAGACTGAATTTGCTCCTCTGGTCCAATTCACTCTTCCGATACAGTGTCTTCAGTTTCTTTCATGAACAATTGGGGATAACATCCAAATGTACATCTAGATCTATGTGTGAAGGTAACTAAAACACATCTTCTGTCCTGGTGTCATGACAGCACTTCACTTAAAACTAGGAATTACAACACTGTTTTCAGGTAAAGCTTCTAAATGCTTTATCTCCGCTCTATGATGACCTCATGGTAGGAAGGTGTCTTTGTTGTGACTGTGACCGACTGGCTAGGATACAGCCTAACCATCCAATGTCCTTTTCAGGGCATCTACCCTCATTTGCATAATAAGGTATTAATGTATATGGAAATATAAAAGGGGCAGGCAGAAATAAAAAAGGCTGTCAGAAAAACCTGAAGTAAAAAAAAAAGGAAACAGACAAAAAAAAGTTAAAGCGTACAGAGAAGCAAAGATTTGAAAACTTAGTAACTAAAAATACATTTTAAGATTAGAATGATTATAAAACCGGTTTTATTATAAACGTAAATACAGGAACGTCAAATAAAAACATTTATACATTGTATAATTGAATTATTGCTTATATCTATTTATTAGCTCTATTTTCTGAGCATTTAACTACATCCCATTTTTTTTTTTATTTTGCATTTAGTTATTTAGGTATTTAATTTTAAGTTTGTCAGAGTTGTTCTTCTACAAAACATCCCTTTGTTGTTTTCACTGATTCTTTTCCTTCTTCTTTGGTGAAAGAAGCATTATTTATCTTGCATTGTATACATTTTATAGCATACTTTTTTTGCATTTACCAAATGTGTACGGACATTAATTAGAACATTTTCGATATGTTTTTTTTTTTTTTTAGTTTTTCAATGCATCTCTATTCGATTCCTAACAGATCATAACCCAGAGATGAACATGCCCCACTGCCAGCTCTATAGGCCAATAAAGCTGGAAGAGGCATCATGTCTTGTACAACTATTTTCTATTTACAATTTTTTTTAAGCCACCTGCTGTAGTAATTGGCTCTTTGCGTTTTTTTCTTAACCCCACTACAGTTTTTCTACTTTGGATACATCTTATCATACAATGTAGATGTTTATTAGTGACAACAATCTCATTGCCTTCAGGAAACGAACAATAGGACAGCCTCATTACCTGCAATTATCCAACCAGCCCACAGTTCTGTAGCCATGTCACTAGTCATCCTAAAGCAATCAGTTGGCCAAGATCCCACACACCTCAGCCTTTTTAAGCACATGAAGTATATATCATAGAATGGGCCTTTCAACCCCTATGTGGCTTAGTATTTAATTCATATTACAGGGAGAGGCATATTGCTCAGTATGTATCAGGCTGCTGTGCTCTCATTTGCATAGATCTGAATAGTAGAGTTACTCTAAATATGTTTCAGGTCATACAGTTGGATTACAAATGCATCCATAAATTATTAAGAGCAGATTGGTATAATTAAGCCCTGTTCGCAGCACACATGAGCTGCAATGGCTGGATTGATGCTTTAGTAAAACAATTTAAAACCATTACCTTGTTTAAAACTCAATATGCATCAGGTCATATACTACATCAAGGTAAGTACACTGTTACTGAAGTGTTCTTGTGTTGCAAAATGTCTCCATAATAATACTTTAGCATCCTGTGGAAAGGCAAACTAATTTTAGATATGCATTCAAGTCTAGCATGCTCACATTGTTATACATATAACAGAGGGTCACATTGGGACTTATTTTATTATTGCTGTCTGTTCTACTAATCTCAAAAAACTTAAAACACATATAGAACATTATGAACAGTTATACACAAAAAACATTATTTTATTTTTTCTGTTTGAGCTTTTAAGTTAGGCTAAACCTGGAAAGAGAGGTTCACGTTATTTGTACTTTAATTTATTTGTACTTTGTTCATCATAATATAAAACGACTAACCAAAAAAAATAAAAACGGAGTATAAGTCAATAATTATTCTGTTTGATATCATTATGAACAAACAGCAAGAAAACTCTTATGTATCTTGTATTCTAGATCTAACACATCTAACTATCTACATCTATCTACATCTAGCACACTTTAAGCAAAAATTGATTATACCATTTCAATCTTATTTATGAAATCATAAAATACCTTAAAGGTATAGTGGAGGATGTTCATTTTCCGGGTGGATCATCAAAATAAGTGGTCCTCCTAATTTTCAATCATTCTGGTGATATGTTTACATAAGGCTGTTTTACGTGCTTATCCCCATTTTCACTTACCAGTGGTGAGTCTGACGTAGTGGAGAAATTGCAAATCTTTCTTTGGAAAGTAAGCTTGTATAAGCGATGCAAACAGCAAATTTTAAGCAGAGCGTGCATGGAGAGAAATGGGCTTGTGCACGCTCTCACATGTTTAATAGACGTTCCTTCTTTTCGGAGTGGGTACAGGGTTGTGCATGTGCATTTTCTTTAAAAGTGGAGAGGGTGGGTCTTTTCAAAAATTCGCTAAAATCCTACACTAACTTTAAAGAGGTTTAAATACAACGGAATGAACATATTACTGAGAGGGATGGACACAAGTAGGACAGACAGATGACACAAGTAGGACAAATGTCATACTGTATTATCTTGTATATTTCTTGCACTTATAGGACTGTTCCTCAATTTCTGAATGGTGGAAAGCTTTCTGGCAGATTTCCTACATCCATTGGGTTTTGGCGACCTACAACAGATTTTAATCTGTCACAATCCCTGCACACAAATTTTTACAGTATGTTAATAATACTCTCTTCTATTGAGGTGAAGACTCTCTTTATTTGAGCAGCTTGCATCCATGGGAGTTTCTCAGGATCAAAAATAGATCTTCATAAAAATGTTTCATCTCTAACACTTTTTCAAGGTCCATAATGCAGATTTACTTTGATTTAATTGAGATTTCCTTATTTCTCATCCTGCAGGGTGCAGGTAGAGTTCTATGTCAATGAAAACACATTCAAGGAGAGGCTGAAGCTTTTCTTCATCAAAAACCAAAGGTCAAGTAAGTACAGAGAGCAGGACGCACCAGCTCCTCTCCTGCCATGTAATGAAAATGGGATGATCATTACTGCATGATATGGCCTGAGCTAAATGAACAAGTAACAGCATCAATAGGAAATTGAAGTCGTGATGCCGATCAAGTTACTGTTTGGCTAAGGGCTTTAGTATTACATTTTGCTACCTTGTTTATTTGTTTTTGACTGTGCATGTTGTTACCCTGACATTAAGAAGACAATGTCCTATTTACTGACAGGAAGCAGAGCTGCAGTGCTTTTCACAGAGGAACGAGAGCTGCAATGTTTCTGTTATTGTGGTTTCAACAATCACACACCAACAACTCAATGTGTTGTCTAGCTGTGAAACTGCACACAATGGGAAGCCCCTGCTGAAGAAGCTATTACCATATCTTTATTGCTTGTTCTGCCGCTTTTCCCCCAATGTGTTCTTTTAACCATCAAAGTAAACCACAAAAACAAAAATCACAGTTTAGGATGTCGCTGCCAGCTGATGGCATTTTACTCTTACACTGTTTTAACATTGATTCTGACTTCATATGTCAGAATAGATTCGGAAAGCGTAGCTAAGATTTATTCTAATATGTTAATACAGCTAACACTGGCCAATGGATAATCTACACATCTGCATCTAGTTTTAGCCCTGAGCACCTTAGAACGTTTGGGATTTTATTTACGTTGATAAGACTGTTTATCTGGGCTTATTCAAACAGAATAATATTATGTGTTATCCTTGGATCATTCCAGTTTGTGTCTCAGGGGAAGTTATTTGAGAGAGTCTGCCCAGTCTTATCAAAGCTACAGGCAAAGCCTATGAAAAATTCTTCTCCTTGAAAAGATTTTTTTTTTTTATTAAACTGTCTAAAAAAACAGTGCCAGATTTGAGTAGCGTGTTATTTTCTTTTACAGCAGCAGCTATACAATCTATAAAAGAATATTCAATGTTTTATCAAAGTTTCTATTTTCTTTTTTTTTCATTATTATTGTTACCAGTATCTCATTTGTTGGATATTTTTTCTTAATCAGACAATATTTCCTTATGACATTTGACAAGGAGTAAACATACAAACTGGGGGATCTCTGTCTGAAGAAATCTCTCTAGATTGGCCAGAATTCTTGGTGCTTTCTTATATTCTCTACTTTTCAGCCCAGTTTAATTTTGAAGGCCTGCTATTGACTTTAATCCTGTCTGTATAGTTTAGCTGTTGTTGTTTTTCAGGCCTGAAGTTCATTTAGGTGATTTTTTGCTGTTAATTGTCTTTACTGTATATAGAAAAAAAGAATTGAGTAGAATTTCTAAAATATGTTATTTCAGAAATTTAGTTCAAACACATCTAGTAAGGTTGGTGAAGATTCTCAGTAATCTAGGTCATAGTCATTCCAAATAGTTAAAAAAACAATCAACTGGACTTTGTTTCTAAGTTTGAAGACATTTCGCTTTCCATCCAGGAAGATTTTTCAACTCTAAATATTGTTGTTTTGGCTTAGAAAACATGCAAATTGAACCTGACGAACAGGTCCGCCCCTTAGGAGGCCCCATTCCTCCTAAGGGACGGAATGGCTTTGATCCAAGGTGTTGTTTTCATCCACTCTTTAAAGCCTTGAACTCAATGCTAATTCTGAAATTTTGGATTGAAAAAGCTTCCTGAATGGGAAGCGAAAACTCTTCAAACTTGTAAACAAAGGGCAGTGGATTGTTTTGTTTTTTTTTTTTACTTCTTTGAAACTCTAGTAAGATTACTATAAAAAGCATTTTTTCAAGGTAATCTGCATTTGATTCATTCATTTATTTATTTAAAAAGAACAGTGCATGTTAATGAACATATATACATGTAAACACACCAGATTTGAGCCAAAGGCTAATTTGCACCTGTTGTCCTGGGGTAAGGGCAAAAGAAAACAATAGTATACCATACATTGCTATAAAAACAATACATTATTTCTGTCTAAAACACATCTCTCTAGTATAAATACTCAACCTGTGAAAAATATATAAATAATTCCAATTTTTTTATTTAACAATATGAATCTGGGATTAAGGGTTAATTTCTGAGCTTTGAATACAAATCCAAAAGATCTCAAAATTATGTGATGGATGTTTTTTATTTACAGTAACTCTACCCCATATGGCATCACCAATAAGTTAAAATTATAAGCACATTGGATGTAAATGAGTGCAAGATGTTGATATGGATGTTTTTTACTGCTCCACAGGCCTAAGAATTCGATTGTTCAACTTTGCATTGAAGATTCTCACCTGTGTCCTCTACATTGTGAGAGTCAGCCTGGATAACCCCACGGAATACAACAGTGATCAATTGTAAGGTTCACAATCAGCCGTTCCTGCTTCATTGTTTGCTTTTCTCAGTTAAAATACCCTGATATTTATGTTATATAAAATCATTTAATGAATGAAAAACCCACAATGATCACAGAAATAACTTATATCTAAAAAATAAAATTATAAATGAAAATGAATGAAGACATAAATCCAAGCCCAGACAAGTATGACTTTATCTTTAATTTAAGATTTTGTTGCACAACATTTTGGGGCAATCACTGCAATGAAACAATTATTGTAACTGTCAATGACACTCTTGCACACCTCAACAGGTGTTTTGGTTGCAGTTCTCTCTAGAATCGCTTTATAGTCTTAAGATTTTATTATACCTTGCAGAGATTCAGATAAAGCAGCCTTAGAACATAACAGAGCCTCCCTGTTTCACAGTAGGGAACCTGTTATTTTTCATGATATGCTTCATTGTTCTGTCTGTGAACATCTATGTTCATTGGACATTATCCTAGAAGCTTTGTAGCCTGTCAACATGTAGATTGGCAAATTTTAGTCTGGCTTTTTTATTACTTGTTTTCTACAATCAATCCTCCTTGGTTGTCTCTCATTAAGTCCACTCAGGGTTAAACAACAACGATGGTGCAATCTGACACTGATGTTCCTTGAGCTTTAAGCTTACCTTCAGTCTCTTTAAACATTTTTCTGAGTAATTTTGTCACTATCTCTATCTCTTTTATTTGTCATCAGTTTTCCTCCTCCAGCCATGTTGTAGGTTGGCTATAGTCCCTTGGATCTTGAATTTCTGAATGATATGTGCAACTGTAGTCACATGAAGCTGTCGGAGATGGTCTTTTTGCCTTTACTAACTTCCTTGTCTATAATTTTCTTTCTAATCTCCTGAAACAACTCTTTCCTTCACTTTTCTGGTCCATGTTAAATATCGTACACATACTATGTCCCCAAACAGCAAATTGTCTTGCCTGTAGCTCTATAGAGAGGCCCATTGACTGATTGTTTACAATTGTGATGCTAATTAGTGGATTTAACATGTTCCTGTTGTGTCATTATTTTAGTCATTTTTATGCATATCATAATTTTTTTCTAGGCCTGGAATTTCCTTTTAAGTTATTTCTTTGACAATGGTAAATGTTTCCTTTATATATA